CCCCCCCCCCTCCCTCAATCCTTATTCTTCACAAAAAAATTAACGATTAACGTGGACTGATCAGTTATGGTTTATTCAGGCTGGAAGTTCATATTGTTTTTGGTCTTCGGCCGCATGACCTCCAACTTCATATGCTTAACTCTCTCAACTTTGCGCTCTAGTTCTCTGTGGAGAATTGTCACCATTTAAAAATGTAAATATAAGAGGAGTTTTCCAGAGATTTTTGTTTGTAAGTTATGTACGACAAATCAATACAAGTAACCATTCTCATAAAAGTTACCGAAGAACATGAGGCCGAAAGCACATTTTTGAAGAATAAGAATTTTGTTTTTGTTACTTTTAGGCTTCCACAAGTGAATTAAATACTTTTGACAGTGACTTTAATTGTACAACGCGTAAGTCTACTCTGTCTAATACCACGGTATTTTTGCTACAGGTGATACGTTTCGCTAAATTAAATAAGCCCCCCCCGTCAGAAGTGCTTGAAAAAAATAAGCCCCCCGGGAGGCTTAATAGAGGACTTACGGTAGATATATTTTTATATACGTTTTTATTAGAAATCTTCTCTTTCTATTATTATTTCTAGTTTATTTATTTAATTTTCGTGGCATGTCTGTAAAGTAGCTAATTAGCTAAGAACATTGACCACGTTAAATAAAGGGTATTGTATTGTATTGTAAGCGCTTGCAGGAACTTTTTTTCCAAATCACCCTCCCCCCCCGCCCCCGCCTAAAAAGTTAAATGGTCGGCCCCTTACGGTCGTTATACACAGCAAACTGAACAGGAACACGATTCACTCGATATTTTACTCATTGTTGAAGACGATTAAGAAAAAATGTGAACAAGGATAAGCTTACTGAAATAAGTTTATTTACATTCAAAATTTTCAAACTAAAACTGAAATAGATCATAACACAGAGTTTATCCTATATAAAATTAAAATGATAATAGTTCGTTCGGTGGAGTAGACCCTCTCTTGCTAGCTCAGCAGCAGCTTCACTGCGGCGGCGTTAAGGTATGTTCTCTTTCATGAACTTCTGCAGCGCACTCAGGCGTGCGTCGATTTCCATCATCTCTGCTGATCGATTAAGAGACTCATTCCCAATATCTACAAAAGTACAATGTATTTTATTACCATCATTACTGTATTACTTATTACACGGTAAACAACCGAAATATTTCACGAATGTTTTTTGCTGTTACGACCAATCATAGCGAAGATCAGGGGTGCGTTCGATTGGGAAATCTGGATTTCGAGTTTGAAGCCCGGATTTCGGATTTTGCGTTTGATTTTCACTTAGTTCCTTCTTTATCGTTTTATTGGGAAATCCGAAAAAGGATTTGCAAAACTGTTCTCGAGAACGGTAGTCTCATTTCTGCTAATTATGCGTGTAGGTGCACGACCGCTGTTCCGGAGAACAGTTTTTCAAATCCTTTTTCGAGTTTCTCAATAAAACGGAAAGAAAGAAACCCAAGGGGAGATTTCTTGGCTATCAAATCCGTCCTTGGATTGCCCGTTTTATCACAAATCCGAATCCGGATTTGAAAATCTAAACCCAGAACATGCACCCAGATAAAAATGCGAGCAAGCCACAACACCACAAAGTTAACACCGTTGCCGCTTGCGGTTTTAGTTTTCTCACGCCTGATTGGTTTTCCCCTTGTAACATAATAACATACCACAAATATTCCTGGTGCACACAATTTTGTGAGTTTCACGGTAACTGTTGCAAAAAAGCGAGAAATTTGCCTGACTAACCTCGAAGGCGATGTCCTCTAGTAAGTATCGGGCGGTTTTCTGGCGTGCTGGAATAGCTGTGAGACACGTTAAGGAACCGTAATTAAAACTTCACAAGAGGATAGTCAAGAACAAATGAATACAAAGCAGCAATGCATAGGTGGCAGCAACATCACCAAAAACTGAGAAAGTACTTCATATAAAATTCAACACCGTTTATCCCACAACATATTAAGAGCAAAGCCCTGAAAACTAGGCGTTGTTGAGGGCGCTAAGACGGGTTTTGGGAGCGAGCGCAAACCACGAGACACCTGAGAGGAGGGAGACTTTTCCGTCTCCACGGATCTTAGATTAAAACGAAATGCACTGATGATGTAGCCTCTGACGCGTTCGGAAGTCTAACTAGTCTCCTTTGCGGCCGCTCTGGCCGAAGACATGCAGTGTTCCCCGTCCCCACACGGGGAGCATTAAGTGACTCCCGCCCGAGCGGCTGAGAAAGAGACTAACGTCTAACTGGGAATTTAAAAGTTTTGATCAATAGTAGTGCTATTACATATTTCGATGACATTCTAGGCAAAAGGAAGAAGTTACAAGAACCTTAGTGTCACGATCCACAGGCTTCTGCCGGTAAATTCTGTATCTATCGCATCAGAAAGTCTTTTTCGGCAGCTCGAAGGTTAAAGGGACAGGTTCACGGTTCAGCGCATGCTCATTTACCAAAACGCTATTTTTCTGCCGGGACATGCTGTATCATCGATGCACACTCCTCTGGCAGTAAATTGCAGTTGATCAACTTAAATATTTTAACATAGCTGTAAATTAATCAACCATGGAATGAAACCTCCGGGTCAACAATAAATTCAGCGTTGGTAGTGTTGGCATAATCCACTGATTTTTTCTGCGATTTTAGTACTCCTCCATCCCACTTCAGGTTACACTGAAATACACTTCTACTTTGAAATACACTCTGAGATCGCTGAGATACATGTGAGTGGGATTAGTAACCGATAGAATTAATAATAAAGTGGAAAAAAGCATATAATGTAATTAATGAGCATGCGCTTAACCGTGAACCTGTCCCTTTAAAAGCATGGCTCCCTTCAACAATGACTCAAGAAAGTTCTAAACAGCCGCAAAGAGAGAACGGACAAACTTTAAAGTAAATAAAAAACGCGAAAATTATGCTGCTGCTATACATGGTTACATAGGTTTTTTTTGTTAGAACTCTTTCCTAGTTTGTTAAACTAAGTGCTTGATGAGTTGTAGCTGTATTAAATAATATTGAGTCGGCACCAGGTAAACCACTTTTTAAGTCCGTAACATCCACCCCCCTACACTTCAAAAGAAGTGGATCGGCCCCTGCACTTAAAAAACTGCTCTGCATGCCCTGTACAAGTGGACAACGTGCAAAGGATCTGAAAACCGTGTTCACATTAAAACTTCCTAGTACGGAAAAAGTGCCGCAACAAATTTCACATTTGAGATATTTGTGCACATCTCAAGTTTAAGCGCCACGGTAGAGTTTTTTAAAAACCTGCGTGGGGTATTAACAGTCTTGGAATTGACTGGATCACAACATAATTTGAATGTTAAAATAATTCGTCTTTTGTGTTCAGGAAAGAATTAATGTATTGGGCCTGCAATAAACAAACAAACACTCCTTTGTCCACCAACATACTATAGAAAAGAAAGGTGAATAGCATGTCACCCTGAAACAACAAGAGGATACGGCACTGTCGCAACTTTCACCCCTGCTCCTCGCTCCTGAGAAAAAAAGGAGTTTCAACAAGTCAATAAACCAATATCAGGACACAATACAAGAAACAACAGATATACCGATGGTTTTGGTGATTAATTATAATGCCCCTCAATCCCAGGCTACCCCAAGAAACCACGTCATACCATATCTGAGTCTTCACGGCTATACCACGAGGTTTTCTTCGAAGCAGCCTTCCTCTTGCCTGTTGAACCGTTGGCAAGCCTAGAACAACGTACGTTTGTAAAATATGGGACAGTGATAGCAAGCTTGGTAGGAAAGAGATTTTACGGAATGAAACACGTTATTTCTTGAAAAATGGCAAACACAAGAACATTATGGACAGAAAACTCTAATAAAGTAAGTCTAAATTTAGCTACTTAATTTATTATAATAAATACTATATTCATCGGAAACCCAGCAGTTTTAACAGTGGGATCTCTGCAAGCGTCGACATTCTTTGTCAAGACTCGATCAATAAAAAATACAGTTTCGGTCGTATGTTTTATAAGCAGAACTGCGCTTTTTTGTTGCACGAAGAGACTATCCTTTTAGATCACATCTAAAAGAACCCTAGAACCATATAAAAGATAACAACTCAGTCATTCCACTAACCTGGTTTTCACTCGTCTCGACTGCGAATGGTCAGACGTGTCTCCACCTACAGAAGACTGCGACGAACGTCTTGAGCCTATGCTACCATTGGACGAGGTTCTTCTTAATCTACCACCTGCCAACGAAGAAACTTAGTATGTGTAATCAAATGGTGACGAGTGAAATTATTCCCTAATTTCACGAGTATACCATTTGATTACCTATTAATATCATGGGTGACGAATTACGTTAGTAATCTTGGATTTTTGACATGTTTATCCTGGATCGTATCGAGCAAGAAATCCACTCTCTCAAATGTTTAGACCTTAAATTTGGCTTATAAAGCTTAGAATTTTTCAGACTTTTTCGGCAAAATCCATCTTGATGTTCTCTTGTGTGTTCAGGTTTTCTAAAGCGTCTTTTTGTGCCCTGACATCTTCATTCAAGACATTTTAAAACTTCGTCGCCATCTTGACACTGAGGCGTACGGAAGGGTTGCCATGGCAATTTTGTAATTTCACATGTGAAATTACAAATTAACGCTGAAATTTCGCGCCAAAATTAAGGAGTAATTCGTCACCTATGATATTAACAACGAAACCTCACGTAAATTACATGTATGGAAGCCGGCTGACTCTTAACCCACTTGCCATCAACTCAGAAAAAGTTTGCAGTAACCTCACCTGACCATGCCGTTGCGGCCTGAGAACTGCTGGCTGCTGCAGAAAAACGATCAGCGGACAGTGATCTGGAGCGTCCTCGTTTTCCTGATCCACTTAAACGTGTCCTTTTTCGCCTAATGCGTGAAATACACAGAAAAAATTAGTCACTGACGAACAAGCTAGCCATATTTAAGAAACTATGATAACCACCCACCAACACAACTATACATGTAACTAGAGTAAAACTCTGATAACTCAAACTTCCCGCTAACTTGAATTAAGTTCAATTTCCCTTGGATTTCACCCCCACCTTCCAGTCATTACTCGGTTAACTCGAACTCGGATAACTCGAGTTCCCCGCCGACGCAAACTAAATTTAATTTCCCTTGATCAAAAATTCACAGAAATTTACCCTGATAACTTGAATAACTCCATTCGGATGCCATCCCATTAGCTCATCTTTTTTGTATAATCGGTAAAAACACTGAAGGCTAATACTGGTCAACACTGCAGCAACAGCATCAATTTGATTTTAATTGGTGCAGCGAACAGATCATGTTTCAGTTATCATAAAAAATGCCCAATCATGTTACCGTTTCTGATGAAATACCGGTATGTTAAATTTGCACCGCACTAAACATTAAAGTGCTGAAAAATCAGTAACTATCAATTTTTACTAGGGCAAAGTGAATTTTGCAATCGACCACGCTAACTAGAACGGTTTTTTGTTTCCCTTCAGAGTTCGAGTTACCGTCACGGTGGTTCTGCTGTATTCCCAAATCAAGAGGGACCGACAAGACCTGGAAACGAGTCCGGGTTTTCTTTGACGACGGCATCACCTTGGCCTAAATCAAGGAAACATTTCGCTCTCAGTTACTATTGTTTCAATTTTACCGGTAACTTATTCATTTGTTAACAACCTCTTTCAATTTTAAAAAAATCTCCACTGAAAACTGAGCAGAATACGATTCCCTATTTCTTATTAATCAAACCAAGTTTACAGATCAGCAAGCAGATCAACAAACAGTGTGATCTTGATTACAATACCAGTATGTTAAATTTAAATGAACACTGTAAAATACCCTCTGGCTTCTTCCATCTCTTTTTGCTTCCTTTGCTTTTCTTTGACATATCTTTTATTGTTGTCAAGGGAATTTTGATAAGAAGACTAACAAATTTAACAGGTTTGTGCAAAAAGCCAAGCCACGGGCACAAATTATTGGGTGGACATATGCGCCACATAAGACAACAGCACCATTGAATATTTGAATAGAGGACATTGACGCTTTTTTAAAGCCAAACTGAAGCTCTGCAGTCATGTTGAAAATTTTAATTATGTCGCAAGCAACACATACAAAACCGCATGCACAAACGCAACGATAAAAGTCCCATGCTTGTTTCACCGGGCCAAGACGCGTGCGTAAGCACAAGCGCAAGCAAGACGAACAAAATTGATCTTTTATGTTCTTGCACTTGTGCTTAAGCCTTTTTTTAATTACATCAGAGTTCAATTTCACTTAACAAAATGACAAGACTCTATGCGTCTGCTTACTGTCAAAGTAAGTGCAATTACAAGCTGTTTTAAATCTCCAGTTTGGAGACACCAAAGCCGAATAGAGGGATTAAGATTCACGTTTACGCCAAACGGCAAACGTCAGATTCAAATTGAGAATTTCTCAGAATAGAAAATAAGCAGATAAAAACTCCCCAGAACAATTCTTATGTATAAAACTGGCGTGAAACTGCTTATTTTTTAGTTGAAGTAATAAACAGTTAACGACAACTCAGGGAAAAACTTGGTCACGTGGTACAAATTCACGTTTGCCGTTTAGCGTAAACGTGAATCTTAATCTCTCTAATGTTTTATCGCTTGTTTGTTTAAAGAATGACTATTGACTGCCAATTAAATCAAGAAGGATTGTTCAATCTTTCGTGCTTAATTTTGTGTTGTTTACAAGGGAATTGCTGTAAGTGGATGCAGTCAGAAAAGCGGATAAGGAGCGGAAAGGCATGGCCATACAAAAAAGAAGGCTCCAATTGGCATTCTGGTCCCAAAAGGAATCACCTGCGTCTAAACAAAGAGCCCACTTCCGTTGCCGAGGTTTTTGGCGATGATCTGTTCCCCCCCAGTCCAGCGAGTTAGTGTTTCTCAATTCCTCTTTTTCGAAATCTTGAAAGGACCATCAAACAAAGAGGTGCAAATGCAAAATACTTTCAAGTAAATAATAACACTTAAGGAGAAAAGATCAACTATTTATGGTTACTCCATCGAAAAAGGATACGCAGTGGGGTCAAACCGTGGAATTCTTCCAACTGCAAAACAAGAAATTTCATTACAGAGTGGATGTATATTCTCGAAAAAGTTACCTAACCCCAAAGCAATTTACTTTAATTACACTTGGGTCTAAATTTTGATCAGATGTCCGCGAGCTCGTTGGAGATTAAATCTTATCTGTAGGTGCGGGACTGAGCATTTGAGGTCTTTTAGGGTTGCATTCTTTTCCAGGTGGTAATTTTTGTTTCTTATGATTCTGGTACTTTAATGCTTGACGCGTACGTTACAATATCTATCTCTTTTCCCGCTCCCTTTTCAAAATGCTTGGATTCCGGTAAAAAGGTTTTTTGAGAGGGACAAAGTAACTTTCAAAACACCATATGCCTGTAAAGCTGATAGTACATACTTGCTGGTGAAGGAGTTCTACTGCGCATGCCTGAAGACTGTTTGGGGGGTTGCCTTCTCTCCTTGGAAACTGAACGCCGTGAAGCTCTACTTGCTCTGGAAGCCGAGTTGCTACCCTGGGCTGGTGACGCTCTAGACCTACGTTAATCAAAGTATTTCTTGTTAATATTTTGTTTTACGGCTTACAGGGTCTCCTAAAAATGATCAACGTAGTTGGTCGCTCGCAAGCAAGGATAGGCAAGCGGGTTCTCCTAAAAACGGTTAACGACTGTATTTATTCTGGAAGACGCAAATTTCGTGAAGATGAATAATGCCCCTGTTCAAGATCAGCCTGCGGGTGAAACGAGAGCCGAAAAAAGCGTCTGCTCCCCGCAGGCTAAAGATAAATACGAACACGCATAAAACAGCAGGAGAATAATAGATAAATCAAGAGTGAGATTAGGTACAAGAACCAAAGTAGCCAGCAATAATGGCTTTTCTTTAACTGACAGTTAATCATTATTTTGACAACAACGAAACCAACAGTTGCGGGTACGTTTTAAAACCGCAAAGCCATACGAGGGGATCTTACGGCGGGTCGGGAGGTTACAAAGTTTCGTAAAAAGATTCGAATTTAGCGAGAGAATAAGCGTTAATTCATTTTAGCTAAATCCTTCTGCTTCGGCTGCTCGCTTTTATCTACGAAGAATGGGTCTGGCGCTTGTTTGACGCATTTATCTTGTCGCATAATGGGTCTTAAAGACGACTTGAATAAGTAGAATTCCATCGATCATTCCAAATAATAATAATTGAGCTACTGGCTAGACAGCAGGATTTTCTGACGGTGTACTGTAAATGCAAGCAAACTAAGGGTGGGACTGTTTAACTTATAAACAGGTTTTTCTGAACACAACGAGGAGTAATCATCAGACTAAGTGTGACTGGTGCTATCACCAAATAGCCACTTTTTGTCCTTATTGGATACTACTCCTCAAGCCATGTTGTATGTTACCGCTGAACAGGGCGGATGACAAATTACTAACTTACCCTCTCTTCAACAGTGCAAGTTCATTAGTTAAGCTTCTACATCTTGCTCTTAAATTTCTCTCATTTGAACGGATTTCTTCCAGCTATAAAAGCAAATTGTAATTGACCAGGAATAAAAAGCAACTTGATGCTATTTCAGTCCGTTACAATGGACCTCCCCGTACATTTCCGATACGCGTTAAAACTTTTTAGACATGTGTGCGCTCTCTTGCTTTCGTTTACACGCCTTTTACATTCTTCTATTGCCTAACCGTGTTACGGAGTTTACGTCGGTATTGACTGTATACTGTTTTTTGTTGAAAAACGTTTGTAAAGAAAAACGATTAGACAAAAAAAATAGACACCAAATCCTGAATAATTTCCTGCATGTGAGTCGCTTTGTTTATTGAAATCACTTTGCTTATACTGTCGAATCGTAGGCTGTAACTTTAGAGTTATTCCATTGTGTGATGTCACAAAAAGCTGATACTTTTCATGAGAAAAATTGTAATGTTTTGAAAGTCAAGTAATCCATTAATTGTGAGCAAATCTAAGCAAACATGCAATAATAAGTTTAATATGAACACGAGTCCTTATGGAAACATCACTAAGGGTCATTATACATGTATGATCACAACGGTGCATTCTGCTTTTCACAGTCATTTCTGAAATATAAGCAAGTTTGCCACGTAAATTTGCTGCATTGAGTACTCCAACAAATTTCTATTTTTGTAAATGTCACATTAAAACTACCACAAAATTCGATTATTTGTAGACAATATTAAATAGTCAAACTCTGTAAGGATTGCACCGTCCAACTTACCTCTTCCAGTAAATTCCTATGTTCCTCATTTTTTTTGTTGATTGTCCTCTGGAATTTGCTTTTCTCTTTCATAAGATCACTCTGTGGAAAAGTAGAATGAAAGTGAGGGTTTGTAAGCCACACACAATATCAGTATCCAAGGAAAGTGATGATGCCGCTCAGTACCTACCTCCAGATTCTGTACAACTTTCTTTAACACTCTAATTTCTTTAGCTGTATTTGCTTTGGAGACATGTTTCACCTCTCGCTGAAATGTCTCTAACTGCTTTTCTGTTTCCAGTTTTTCCTTGACCAACTTTTCATTTCTGACCAACAAAAAAAAATACATTAAAAGTAAGTTGGGTAGAAATAAGTGCACTAGCCAATCGTCAAAATGTCAACACTGGGTTAGCACCCAAAAAAATCAATAAATAACTAAGCCTAGCCAGGGTAGTAAACAAAACCTTCCACTTGTCCAATATTCTTACTGGTTTTCCTTAGACAGCATTAAATCTGAAGATGAGGCTCAAATAACAGACCTTCATAACAACTTACTTTACGTACTTTAAATATACTTCACATCATTTCACTCCTCACGGGAGATATGAACTCAATAAATTGACCTCGCTCCCAATGTGTGGCTTCATAGCTCAGTTGAGAGAGCAACGCACCGGTAACGTGGAGGTCACGGGTTTGAATCCCGTTGAAGCCCTGATTTTTTTCAGGCTTCTTCTTTCCAATTGCTTAAATTGGAAAATTTACTGCGATGATCATTCTTCACTTTCATATTTAGCTGTGAAGGTCTCGTTTACGGTTGCATGTGAAAAAAATATAAATATATATATATTGTCTGTTTTAACATGGTCTCTTTTAGGGGTTCACAAAAAGCTTGGGCCACAAGCTTGGGCCATGCCCAGATCGGTCTCCTTTAGGGGTTAATTCGAAATTTCCGATATGCGGAGTCCCCCCCCCCCCGGGAATCTCCTGTCAAGGGTTACCTTCACACTACTCCTTTCAAACAAAAAACATCATAGTGTGACTTGGATTTAGATATGATGGAACTTTATTCTTTAAAAACAATTCCTATGAAACTCGATAATGGCTTACTCTTTTTTTAGATGAACTTGTCCAGCAGTTCTTGAACCTTTTATAAGCTGAATGGGGAAGAGTGAGAATAATACTATATGTAAATCATGTTTGAACCCTGCCTTTTTAAAAGACAGATGCAAAGGAAACTGCAGTATTTGTTGTAAAAGTGGTCTAATAATAGGGCTAATACAGGCAGACAAATAAGTTTTTGCATAATATTCTTCTAAGGAAAATGGACAGCTAGGGAAAGTTTCTCTCCTGTTTGAAAAGTGATAAAACATCTGATATTTGATAACTTGTTTCCACCACTATGACATTCTTGCTACAACCTGCATTAGAATGACAAAAGCTTTGAGTTTTCAACTGAAATGATGCTGGTTTACAAGCACACACTACTTAATGGTATTAAGAAAATCTCATCCTCATTGTTGTCCTCATGTTGTAGTGAACAGACTGCTTCTTTTGAACTATTGAAGGGGGCATGTCATGGCAGTCCTTCTTCTTACTCTATGAAACTTAATGTTAAATACTTGTAAATGACAACACCAAACCTGCGCAATAAACAATTATTTTAACTTACAAACAGCAGATAGACTTTGAAAAACTGTTAGGCTAACTATAAGCAGATTTAAAAAACTACAATGTAGAATTGCAATCTGTTTCAATCTTCTTCAGTTTTAACCTTATTAAATAAAAATTCTTGTGAAATTTAATACCCATATAGAAACTTTAAATTACCGCAAAAAGATGATTAACATGAAAAAACAAAAACATATACAGGATAATGTATTGACAAATACCCAGATTATGAACTGACTTTAATGGTTTAATCCATTCTGTATCTTCATCTGTTGTGAAATAAGAATGTTGATTTGCAAAGACTTCACATATGGAGTAGAGAATTTAGCTATCATCTTCGTCTGAATCACTAGACCGATCCAAAAAAATAAACATGTGTTTTGCTTCTTCCAGTTTATCAAGAAATTTTTAAAAGTTTAGACTTTTTGATCAAATATAATAAAATTGAGAATGCTTGAATCATTAAATTAAATGCCCTTTTTTTTTCAAACACAACATTCCTGGTTTGATTGATGCATTGATCGCTTTTCAATTAACATTGCCACACTGTACTGATGAGAAGCTGCGTTTGTGTGTGAACACATTAATTTTTCAGAATCATGGGGTTGGTGGGAAATATTATTGTTTCCTCTTATCCCCATACCCCTTCCTCCACTTTTTGCTCTTGCTCTAACTCTCACACAATAACTCAATCGCAAATGGTTGCTATGTGGGCTAACTGCATGCTAAATACATTGAAACTTACACACATATAACTGCAGAGAGGGATAAGAGTACCATGAGTTTTTACAGGTGCATAACAAGAATAACAAAAAGAGCATGATGACTGGTCCCGACGGAAACAGTTAATTTTGTTTCCTGAGAATCTCAATAGACTATTATAGCAAATTATTGTATAGCTGGAAATTTTGAGGCTCCTTTCTGTAATGGCAGTTGTCGGTCAACATTCACGGGTAACAGTGCACTGTTACTCTCTGTTCTGACTTTATAGATTTTACAATGTTGCCTGCTCAGAGATTTTGAGAGGAAACAGTTTCATTGTTAAATGTCATGTGACCTTGAAGTAACCAATGACAGTGCACGCTGTTGGGAAGAAATTTCCAGCTATGCAACAATTTCCTTTATAGCCTAATATGGCTTAAATGACATGGCTCTCTTAAATGTTTAGCTAAATAATGAAGAAGGGGCCAGGGATTCCCACCTGGCTACAATGAGCCTGATACCTGGCTACTTTCATTGACACAAAAGGGAAACAGAACCAAAAGAACTTACTATCTGTTCAATCCCCCGCCTACACTGTATATATGTACAAATTGAATATACCTGGCAACTTGAAATCCTTGTGATAACTGTGACATTAGGAGAGTAGTTTGTAAGGAAGTGCACAGTAAGAGCTTTACCTGTTCTTTAAGATGTTGATTTTCTTCTCTTAGTTTTCTAATTGTTTCTTGTAGCTGGACAGGATCAGGTTTTCCCACATATGGTAAAGGAAGGGGATAGTGTATCCTGGAAATACAAAATGCTGCCATTTGTGTAATTGCTCTTATCAGCTCACTCAATAAAAATATCCATTTTAAGTGCCTTAAACAATACTGAATTCTTAACAACAGCAGTTGTCAAAGTTTTGTCAGTCCGTCATTACTATTCATAACATTTATAATGAAGTGGGAAGGTGAAATACACCTAATTAACAGGTTTAACATGGCTAGTCAAATGGTTTCACGTGTGATTACATAACTCCTGATGATAAAAACTGATTTTGCGTGGAAATCATTGATCTTTGCTGAGATCAGCAGAGCCATACAGGAATGAACCACCTACCCTCCCACCTAGAAAACCGTGTGGGTCACATTTACTAACTACCCCTAAGCCAAGCTATCCCACCTTGGCTTAGTCCGCTGATCAATCATTTTCCCATACCTAAATACAACTGAGCATGAATATGAATGTTGTTGAATAGATTACTGGTACTTGCATCCTCAACTTATTGTAATCATTGTTGTTTGAGTTTCACAGTAACCTATTCAACAACATTCATATTCATGCACAATTGAATCAAGGTTTGGGAAAATGATAGATCAGCACCCCACAGCCTTTACTGCTCAATTACTTGTTTAACAATGTAATCTAAACGACCACTATGTCTCCAATAAACCTCTTCAAATCCTCAATTCTCACAACAAAAACCATCTCTATGTTTAGACCAGTTTTCGCCAACCCATAAAGTACACTTGTGCGCTACATGCCTTAATACTTTGTATCTCCTTGACTAACTCACTTGCTGTCCTATAAGAGCTGTTTATAAATACTTTAGCAATAAACAGATATTAACTTGTTCCTTAACACACAACAGCTTTTTTAAATGAACATTTGTTCTGTCATCGTCATCACAGTCAGTCGGTTCGACTAAGATTGTTCTAGGGTTCAGCACAGTTTGATAAATCTTCTCCAGGTAGGTCTGTTGTTGGCACTCTCCTGCCATCAAATGATATTGATGTCTCTTCATTTCATGTTTATCTTAGCAATATCTTTGAACCTTAATCTAGGCCTCCCTTAATTACGCATTCCCAAACAGAGTTGAGAGTATAACAGCTGCTTTGGTAGTCTGTTATTATCCAACCTATGCACGTGACCCAGCAATCAGAGATTCTTCTCAATGAGAATATCAGCTATTGATGGTATAGTCCTGCCCACTGGTTGGAAAGGCGCAGTGATCTACATCATGTCAGGGTACCGCAACTTTTAATCCTCACAGAAGGAATGGCACCATCAGGGTTGATCACCTTAACCAAACGATACAACAGATGCAAGGCGGCATGACTACACTTCCAACTTACAAGCTGCATAACTTCAGATAAGTCTGCTACCCCTGTGAAGGATAGTGTTATTGCTCAACCAGAATGAAAGCCATGTACATCTCTCACCACCAATAAGAGATCACTACCTGTCATTTAACCAAGATGAAGACATCTGTTGAGTGCCCGTATTAGTGTTTACAGGATGAAAAAGAAATCCTTTTTTTTAGAATAATGCCTAAATCTCTTGCCGTTTCAACATGTTTTAATTTCTTGGAATGGACATGCAGATGTTCATTTGAGGATTCCTGCGAACACCAAGAAACATTATGAAGCTCCAAGGATTGAACACATTTTGAGTCACGGAACAACAACCCTGCAATATCGTTAGTCAGCTCTCCTTTCTTTATCAGCTTTTTATGTCATTCTGCCATAGTCACCTCTCCTCTCATAGTTACCTCTCCTCCGACCTTAACGAGGTCCTGGTACTGATGAGCTTATTCCATTTCAATGGCTTTAGCTTTGCTATTCTTGAAGTTAGAAATCAAGGCCCCTTGTCCCTACACCAAGTTTGGTTGTTTAATTTGTTTTGTTTTTCAGAAAAAGGCAAGGACACCACTGGGCAAATACATCAACCCAGAATCTGGAATCATGCTCACCCCGTTAAAGTCAGCAGAGAGACAACAGCTTAGACCTGCAAGGCAGGAAGGCCTTTAAATGAAGGATACCTTGCTTTCAAAGCTGCCATAACTATGCTGACTAGGACAAAAAGCAGTACACAATACATGTATATGGAGCTGAATAAACAGGATTGGTTGTTAGTTATTGTTAGGTATATCATCTCTCCTCTCATTTTTGACACATAGACCTGACAAAATACTAGACACCCATTAATTTAAACTTGTTAAATAACATTATTCACTTGTCAGGTTTTGCGGATGCTTTGTGTTGCTCAGACTTTCTAATAGAGCAAGGTATACAGTTTATACAAAATGGCCCATCCTGTAACAATAGCCACACCTCCAACAAAAAAGGCTTGAAGAACGTACCTTTTCGCCACCTCTATTTTCTCTCACACGAGTCTCCTTATGATTTCACTTGTCTACTTTTGCCTGCTATGGTCTTTATCCCCCAAAGATGCATAAACAACCTGATCAGTACTACATGCTATGCAGACTTGATACTTCTTGTGATAGTGGGCGTGCTTTATAAGTGCTCAACTAAGTGCTCAGGTGATACATAAACAACAACCTCCACCAACTGCTTCGACTGTTTGCGCTCTGAACGCAGTTTGTGAATGTTAAAAAGAGAATCCCCTCTAGTTGTTATAGATGCCTATGTCTATTCTACTGCCGATCGAATCCTAGCCTTTGTAAACATCCAAAGCAGTCAGACAAGGATTACCTTAGCTGAAGGAATTAATACCTTAAATACATGTTGTAAAACAAGCATGTGGCATTCCTCTACTTAAAAACTACATGCATGCCGCCAGTTTACTAACAACCCAGTGACAATTTGACAACCTAACTTCCGCCCTTTGAAAACATCCAACAACCACTCAAACCGAAGGAATTCATACAAATAAAGCGTGCCTGCAGGGTTTCTCTAGTCAGAGACTACACCCTAAAACACCAGTTTTCCAACTAGCCACCACCGTTTAAATTGGCAAACTTGCCTCAGCCCTTTGTAAACATTCCAACGTATCCAACAACTGCTTGAGCCAAAGCTATAAATAAATACAAATAGCTATTAATAATCAAAGACCAGATGCGTTAACCGCCAGTTCGTCAACTAGTCACCGCCAATTAAATAGGCAACCTCGCTTCAGCTGTTTGTAAACATCCAATAGCGACTTGAGCTGAAGGAATTACTACAAATAAAGAGAGCCTGTGGTGTTTCTCTAGTCATAGACTAGATGTCTTATCCACCAGTTTACCAACAAGCCACCGCCGATTAATCGGCAACCTCGCTTCAGCCCTTTGTAAACATCCAACGACCACTAAAGCGGAAGGAATTAATACAAATAAAGTGAGTCTGTGCGGCATTTCTCTAGTCATAGACTAGATGCCTTATTTGCCAGTTCACCAACTAGCCACCGCCAATTAAATTGGCAACCTTGCTAAAAGTGAGTCTCCGGTGTCTCTCTAGTCATAGACCAGAAGCCTGCTAAAAGTCTCTTCAAATAGCCTTTTCCAATGAAGAGATATATCTCCAGCTCTTGATATTGTGCGGGTTGCTCAGCTTGAGCGTCAAGAACTGAAATTGGACTTCAGCTGCCAGTTTCACCATGAGAAAATTGCGAGGGGTGTATAAAGACCAAAGAGTTCACCCCTGCCTGGCTCAGGTGAAAACTGAGCGAGAATCAATGATTTCCATGCGAAATCGGTATTTATTATCAGGGGTTAAGCAAATTGCAGGTGAAACCATTTGACTAGCAACGTTAAAGCTGTTAATTAGGTGTACATGTATTTCAACTTTGCATATCATTATGAGTGTTGTGAATAGAGCACAAAAGCCCTTAAACTAATTGCTGTTGATCCTTGTTGATCCTTTAAACTAATAATTTATTATTTCGTAGTTTTATCATGCCTGATTCAACTGACTGGCTTTTTCCTTGCAGAGCAGTAACATTAAAGAAATATCTCTGGCATTTACAGCTTGAAAGTTTCACAGTAATATACATGTACAGTGTAACATGTGTATTCATGGCTGGCACAACATAAGACAAGCAAGTTTAAAGGACTTCAAGGACTTTTCAAGGACAAATTATAGTTTTCAAGGACTAATTTTTATTTAATAAATCGGCACTCTTTAACCCCCTTTGATTACCCTATAATTTGGCTAAAACATGTCATGAAGGACTTCATTTATGACTTTTACTTCTCTGGCCATCGTTGAACACGTTATTTTATACTACTTTCTGCAACAAAACTTTGCAAAATGACTGGGTATGATTTGCAATTGCATCTGAGGTACAGAAATAGCATTTGAAATAAAGAAACAGAAATAAAATATTGTTCATGCACAAAAATGTCTTTATGTTACCCGTGAGTTTTACAGGTTCTAAGACCGAGGATAAGCCAACTTTCCATCGGCAAAATAATCTAATTTTACAGAAAAAAGTTGTCTGGTGTAGACAAGGTTGTGAATTTCAAGGACTTTTCAAGGCCTAACAAAGAAATCAAGTACTTTTCAAGGATCTAAACCAAATTCAAGGACTTTTCACGACGAATAGTAAAATTCAGTACCTTTTCAAGATTGTACGAGTCATGTGTACTTGTTGCAAACTTGTTTTTTAAGTTAAAATAATTTTGATTGAATTAAATTAATATTACTTAGCCACAATTCTCGCCATATCTTCCAGTGTATGGATTATTCTTAATCAGAAAATGTAAAAATACAAGAGATATTGGATGGAATTAAATTTAAAAAATAATAAAAATTTAAAAAATAAACACAAAAGGCCCAAAAAGTTGGGTCTCATTAGTTTGCAATTAAAAACAGCTAGTGTTTTATTTACAAAGCAATTCAAGGCCTTTCATTTGTAATGCCCTTCTTTTGGGACTGACAGCAAATTTATCTCAACACTGACTGACAACTCATCGTATCATTGTCATGGTAAGCATTCTAGCCCTGAAATATGTTTATATCGGCAAAATACCATTTATTACCTAAGGGTGGATTTCCCCTGTTGCATAATTTTCATGTGTTTACGCATGCAAAATTTCACACATAAATAAGCTTAAATTAGAAGCAAAGTATGGAAGGTTGCATGTAAATGAAAAAATTAACACTTGCTGAACTTTTACCGTTACACGGGACATTCCATACAATGTAAATTGCCCCTATTTTTTTTACGCCTGTAAAATTTTACATGCATACAAACTTAAAAATTACCCGACGGTGGAAATCTACCCAAAGACATAAAATTTTACTGTTTATTACCAAAGACATCAAAGGGAATTGTTGTTCACCTGTCAAACTCAACAGTATATGTCATAATAAGGTATCTCTTTGAGTTCAGTTGTGATTTTGTTTTAGCACCAGGAATATGCTGTGTTCCAAATCCAGGTCTGTGATTGCGTAGTGATTCAAGGTCTCCATAGGTCAAAAGGTCCACTGATACTGAATTACTGTTCTGTGAGAATAGAAGTATATGAGAATAATGCTGCCACCATGCAATGAAGTAGCAAAATCAGAGCATTGTGAATAGCTCTTGGACTTCAACCATCACAAAATGTACAATGTAATCTCAAGAGGGTGAAAAAAGTAACTGTACCGTAGTTGTTGTTTTATCAGGAACAAAACAGCTTACCTTAGACAGTGCACTTTCAAGCATGCTGATAAACACTGTAAACTGCTTGAAATTTCCAGTTTTGTGAGTTAGATCCTCAATATCTGTATTGATTAAAGTCACAACCAAAGTCATGTGCACTGGACAAACAGATCAAAGCAATGTTATTGCTAAAATTTATTACAAAATAGTGTGAGCCCTAAATTGTATAAAATGGCCATCATTTGGACAACTTTGTTGGTGGCCACTGTCTTCAGGTGAGGTGCATGTAACATAATAAGTAAAACGGTGAAAATAGGCCATTTCAGAGTTCCAATAATCCTAACTTTCAAAACAAGACCAGGTGCAAAACTTTTCTTGTGATGAGTTAAAATAAGGTTTATATCAATGGCTTCTTGTGTAGCCCCACTATGAAACAGGGGCTTTGTGCAACTCAGAAATGGCCTGTTGAAAGAGAATTGCCATGTAATATGTAGTAGATCAAAATGAAATTAAGGTTAAAATGGTTTTAAACTTAGTTTCATTATCAGCTGCCTTTATCTCTTAAACCTAATATTATTGTTTTTAGTTTTATGTTGCACACTAAGGGTAACAAGTCAATGGCTCTTTTAAGAGCCACCAAGTTTAATGTCAGTCATAGCTAAATACAAACTGAAGCTTGTCATTGTCTACTTTGCTTGTCTACTTTTGTATGACAATGTTTCTAAAATGAAAGTGTTTTGGCATGTTTTCCAAATTAATAGGCTCTTTGCATGACTTGATCGCGTGATCAACTTTCGGTAAACGCGAAAACAGTTCACTTTTGAAAAATTTTGTCAGCACAAGCTGAAAGAGCATATTAAAAATTGGTAACCTGAGAACTTTCAGCCGTATATCTCAAAGGTAGCAATTGCGATGGCTGCCGAATGTTAGAAGCATTAGTATGAGAAAAACAACTTTTGCCATACAGTCACACTTGTATGGTTTTCCATACAAATCCTTGTAATTTTGAAATTTTCAAAACTGTCATAAAATATATCCTTAAGCATTACAGGGCTCAAGTCTCCTTTTAATTCATAACAGACAATTTGAGCCCTTAAATGCGTAAGAAAAAGATGACACGACATTTTAAAAAGTTTAGAATTTATAAGGATTTGTATGTAAAACCATGCAAGCATGACTGGGTGGCTTTCGTGACTTTCGGCAGCCATTGCAATCGCTACTTTTGAAATATACGGCTGAAAATTCTCAGGTTACCTAATTTTAATATGTTCTTTCAGCTTGTGCTAACAAAATTTTTCAAAAGCAAACTGCTTTCGTGTTTACCAAAAGTAGATCACGTGATCAAGTCATGCGAAGAGCCTATTACCCTGGATCCATAGAAATTAAGGTGACTCGACCCAGTTTTTTGGGGGGGTACCATCCTACTTTGAAGCTTTCTGGTATCCCCACCTTTACTTTTATCGTAAGTCTAACACATAGAATGGATAACATATAGATCAATATACAATACAACATAAAATTTTTGGCAATCGGAGTAAATGTCACGTGGTTATAATGCCACGTCCCTTTGAGGTCTGAATTGAAAATCTGCTGTTGCCGGGATTTTTTCGTGAAAATCTCTCGGCTACACATAGTGTGTATTAGTGCCATGCGCTGAGCAGAGTTTCACCAAAATTTCAAAGACCCAATTTGAGAAATTCAGCAGTTTCCAAATTTAGGTCATAATTTATGCGAAAATGATAAGCAAACTTTACACGATTATATCTAATAAACTATGAGACTTATCCCTTTATTTTGGGCATCGTTATAACAGATGGGTCCTTGCAAGTCAGCAAACAGCTTTAGGGCCTTGTAAATGCGCGATTTCGAGCAAAGCAAACATATAGAAATTATAGTTTTCGCTATTTGTTGACGTTTGTCAGCGTTTAAGAGTCCTTCTCACGAAAAAAACATTTTCTTAAAAATTCGTAGTTTTTTTCCCTACAAATTTTTTCAGGGCCACAATTGATTAACTAATTACCCGGACTCTGAATTTCATGGTCATTGAAAAACTGTGACAGTATCTTCTATAGGCCCAAACGTGAGTAAACATTGAAGATTTTTAGCGTTTTGGCTGAGTTTGTGCTTTGGGAGTTGTATATTGTTTCTAGTCTGTCATGATACAGCATTCTTGTTCAGCACACATGCAATGACCGCGCTTGGCTGACTTCCGAATGCTCACCGAGATGATGAGATGAAAGAGGCACAATAAATGTGTAATAAGGATGCAAGGATGCTGTTGAGCGTGATAAGTCAGTATTTCAGGCGACTTGACCAAAAATTTTGTGCGACACAACTCTGGTTTTGGGCGACATAACTTTGGATGAGATGACTTTCGGGCCAATCGGGTAACTTGACCGTAAACCCATTGTTTGCAAAAACGCTGGCTAGGATAAGAACTTGATGGATTTAAAGAGAAATGGCAGATTGTCAGAAGTCTAAAGTGGCCCAGTCTTGTCACATGTTTTCTTTAGCTATGTTGCAGATATCGCCAAAATATCGGGTTACATGGGTCCCAGGCAACGCTTCCATACTCAACGAGTATTATTATATTATACACGATTATAAAATGAAATACACGGCCAATTCTATAAGCTCACCGTTTCCGGTTAATGATAATGAAAAGTAGACAGAGCTTATCGAGAACTTCACGACGTTAAAATAATTTTAGCCCTGTTTATTATTTTCAACTACAACAAATAAAATGATCTGACTTTAATTAAGTAAACACATTCGAATTTCATTTATTTTCTACCAGGTATGTACTTACATTTAGCATCGAACTGTCCTCTCCATTGATCAGAAGTAAGCCTATCTTCAACCTCAAGGACAAACATCTCCTTGATGTTGTCGATCATGAGAGTGACAACATATTCAATCCCACGAAATACATGTCTGGCGCTGACAACAGTGGGGTCTTCTTGTTCGGATCTCCAGCTGGAATTCATATTTGACCCTTAACCACTTCTTTACTCCAGGATGTTGTCTGATTCTCCCCTTACCTATAATTTAGTCATAAACTAGACATGCATTGGAGTATATAAAAACGCCAACAAAACAGTGTTTGTATTTTGCGGGTAATCTAACGGCCATTGCGATCCCACAAGTCAAAGCGGTGTGATAGACAAGGCGTGGCTGCTAAGGGTATACAAGGGTATACAGGGAGATAAACAATCTATTACTATTACATGAAGGACATATCTATTTGGCGTAAGCGTAACATGAAAGAATAACCATACGTATCCGTCCTTGGAGAAACGATGCCGGCTCCAACTGGAGAAGAAAGAAGAAAATGCCATGCAGCGCGGGACAGTTACTTCGCTTGCCTATCTTTGAACGGTAACAGTGAAGAAGCATGTAGCAAAGAGAAGGAACTTTACAATAGCCTTTGCCCTGCTGCTTGGGTAGGAACATATTTTGTGATTTGTATAGACTGTAGACTTGCCACAAGTCATGAGCCTGAGAAAACAGCCGACCTTTGGCGACCCTACCACTGATTACATTTGGCGGGGAAACCAGTGGTAGCCTCGCCAAATGTTGGCTGTTTTCTCAGGCCAGCCACAAGTCGACCCCACGAGTTTCTAAGCGAGCGGAGCGAGCTTTACAAATTTAGGCCGCGAAGCGGCTGAGCGAGCGAGGAAGCCACCCGAGGAATCGGACGAAGGACTTTTTTGAAAGTCCTATTAGACTGGTGCATCAGTCCTGGTGTGTTCAATCGATAAAATCGATAATCGATAGCGTTCGGTAAAAATCAACTGATTGTTATCGCAAACTATCGATAAAATCGATAAAAGGATCTGATGTGAGTTATCGATAATTATCGATTCTTCAATCATTGTTAACGATTTTATCGAAAAATATTGGTTTTATCAGTAAGTTAATCACGTGTAGCATCGAAATAGATTCTATACGAATACGTTTTATTGATATTTTTTTTAGTATGTATATTTTTGTAAATTTTATTCTTTGTAAATATTTTTTTGTATGTGTAATATCATAGGTGACGAATTACTCCTTAATTTTGGCGCAAAATTTCAGCATTAATTTGTAATTTCACATGTGAAATTACAAAATTGCCATGGCAACCTTCCGTACGTCTCAGTGTCAAGATGGCGACGAAGTTTTAAACTGCCGTGAATGAAGATGGCAGGGCACAAAAAGACGCTTTAGAAAACCTGAACTCACAAGAGAACGTCAGTGGAAGGATTCTAACAGGTATTTTGCCGAAATAGTCTGAACCGAAAAATTCTGAACTTTATAAGCCAAATTTAAGGTCTAAACATTTGAGAGAGTGGAGTTCTCGATAGATACGATCCAGGATAAACGTGTCAAAAATCCAAGATTGCTAACGTTACTCTTCACCCATTATGTTAATAGGTAATCAAAATAGTATACTCGTGAAATTAGGGAATAATTTCACTTGCGTAATTTCACTCGTCACCATTTGATTACACATACTAATCAAATGGTGACAAGTGAAATTAGGGAATAATTTCACGCGCGTTTGCACAAAATGCAAGTGAAATTATTCCCTAATTTCATGAGTATACCATTTGATTACCTATTAATTTCATGGGTGACAAATTACGTTAGCAATCTTGGATTTTTGACATGTTTATCCTGGATCGTATTGATCGAGAACTCTACTCTGTCAAAAGTTTAGACCTTAAATTTGGCTTATAAAGTTCAGAATTTTTCAGACTTTTTTGGCAAAATACCTGTTAGAATCCTTCTTGATGTTCTCTTGTGTGTTCAGGTTTTCTAAAGCGTCTTTTTGTGCCCTGACATCTTCATTCACGGCGTTTTAAAAACTTCGCCGCCATCTTGACACTGAGTCGTACGGAAGGGTTGCCATGTCAATTTTGTAATTTCACATGTGAAATTACAAATTAAGACTGAAATTTCGTGCCAAAATTAAGGAGTAATTCGTCACCTATGATATTATAATATTAATTAGTTAGAGCTGATAGTATTTTAATTTAGTGTCCCCTATTAGTAGGCCTGGCCAGCTAGAAGACTTGACACTGAAATAAAGTTTATCATCATCATCATCTATAACAATCAATGATTGATAAATCTGATAAAAACAATAAAATCAAGAAACTTAGCACTTGGTAGCATGTGAGTATCAATTTTTATTGATTGGTTTTTATCAATTGAACACACTAGGATCAGTGAAATCCAGCTGCACCCATGTCAAACCCCCAGGCTAATAACCCCCAGGCTTTACCCTTTTTTTGCCTTGTATGGCAAATTCCTGGAGACTGGACACAAGCTGCCAAATGCCGCGTGGTGGGGATGAAAAAAGAGGGGAAATGCCCTGTCCTCAATCAAAACTACAGCAGTTTTCATTGATTGCAAAGTCGAATAGTGCCACTTTAAGCATTTTAATGAACAATTTTTTGTTTCAGTTCATGGCTGCCTTAGTAATTTAGCGCTATTTTGTGGCAATACCACTTCATGAATCTTCAGATTTCATTATAACTCTGTCTTGTGCTGTAAACATACCTGTTCTGGAAAGTTTACTAAGATCTGTGAAAGGAAGTTCTTCAAATAATAGAGAGATCACAGTAGTATTAGAATCATCAACGCTAAATTTCCTTAAAATCCTCTATCAACAAATTTTTCATTCAATAGCCAAAAAGAAACATGTTGATTCACGTCAATAGTTCCTGATTTCGCTATGTAATTCTGGCTTGATAAGCAAGAAAGAAATGCATTAACAAAATCTAGAAAACGTGCCTTAAAAACTTCTTCAAGTTTCCCCTTTGCTTGACGGGACAGATGAGCCAGAAAAGTAAATTGAAATTGTCGTGAACAAATTGAAATTGCTGTGAGTAAAATTGAAATAATTATTGCTGTGAGTAAATTGAAATTGCTGTGGGTAAAATTGATATTGCCATAACACTTTTGGGCCACCGTAGTTTTAGCCTTAACATCAATAAATCATTCTGCATAGTTTTCTCTTCATGTAGTGCGCAGGAGTGCGTTATTCTCTAACACTGAGTAATAAAAAAATTGAGGCAGACTTTCTCGAAGCAAATTTACTGTTTTTGTCATGAGGTCCATTGCTGTACAGCTCAGCAACAACATTTCCGATATCTGGTCATCTGTAGTACTTTTTAGAGGGGAAATTGTGATCATACAGGTTTTTGATGAGGATATTTCTTCTTTGGCCATAGCAAAGCAAGATCATGCTCTTGCCAAAACCTGTTGAGAAAATTTCCATGACTCCATGATTTCCATCTCTCCTTTGAAGAAGACTGTAAATGGCCATTTCCTGTTTAGGCTTCAATGCAATTGCCCCGTTTTCCTGTCAAATATTCAAGATCGACGATGCTCCGGTCAACGCTTCTTTGATATTTTGATTTTGTTTTGCGGCAATGATTTGTTCAGTCCTTCGAAACTCTCCCATGGGAGAGTACCAAAATATTTGATTGACGAGTGAACATTCTGAACCAACTAGACGATCCGTACGCTGGCATACCGATCGACTCAAAAAAGCCCCCTGTCCATGCAGGCGGTTTTTCAAGTTGCTCCCACCCCAATCTCCTTGCAGTTTCTCTTCCCTCACCAGCCTTTATTACTTAGCGTGCCCAACCAAAACTGCCATGCTACGCAGGCTACACTGTAATAACATCCAATATCGCTTTGAAATACTGTTAGCAGTTAATTACTCAGTACAACAGAGGCAACAGACCAAATGAATGATTATATAAAACTCTTGAGAAAATAAGAGTGACAACAATGATGTGGCACAGTGGCTGTCTTAGAAGAAATTACATTCATACTGTCATGATGGAAAATGAATTACAATGTAGTAAGAACATATTTTTCCTAAGGTCATAATCACAGAAAGCAAACAACTGATTAGGAGGTAAAATTGCGAGTTTTTTTCCCACTGTGATCATCTCTCTATCAGGATTTCAGAGTATGAATGTTTGATTGTGTTAAATTGATCCATTTTTTGGTTAGTTCAGTTATGTTCAGTTGCTGAACAAAATCAAACTCAATCCATGAATTGAGTTCTGTTGAGTTCAATATTAAACGTTCATTCGATTTTGTTCAATTGACTACCCTAGGAATATTTGTACATGACAAATGTCATTGGGGCGGGGGATTGTTGTCAGATTATTGTCCTGTTGCTTATTTCAGGTGACCTACTTTGCCAAGAAAAGAGTTTATGATGAATACAAGAAGAAACTTAACACTGAAGGGTTTAAACCAAAAGATGAACAACCACCACAAAACAGCTAACAGTAGATGTGTTTACTTTATATGGAATTTCTGATTTGGCTTTTCCTGATATGAAGCCTCATCAACCAGTGTTTGATAGCTGCACCTCCTGCTGAATGTGCCACTGCCTACCACAAAGTTTGCGAACTATATCCATTATGGAGTCCATCACATAGCACACTACTGGATAGATAGTTTGAGTATTCAGCAAATGTGGCCATTCCTCAATTTACAAACTTCCATTAAGACACTGTGTATAACAATTATTTTTTTTATTCAAGGTACTAAATCGCTAACGAAAAGCTTAGCTTTTACCCTCTGAAATTATTTAGACCATGTCTACTGTTGTGATGTCCAGTTTGTTTGAGTGATCTTTCTTGGCTCCCAAATCATACTTCTCAAGCAAATATAGTGATTTTCCTTAACCTGTGAAATAAGTAGTAGAATACTACAAACTATTGTACACTAATTCCATTGTCTTCCTTTGTTTTCTTGTGGCTATTTTGCACTAGTTGCTAGTATCTGTTTCACAGGTCAAGTAAAATCACTCAAGTCATCTGCAGGTAGAGACTGTAAACAAGAATAGGAAATAACTTTGCATTGGTTTTCTTTTTCGATAACTCATAAAAAATTAAGATGCCAAACTAAGGGATGATTTAGCTACTTGGAATTTTATTTGCATGATAAATCAGTGCATTACACGAGAGACTACCTGTAATTGGCAGAGCTTACTGAGGTGGAGGCAAGGAGACACAACCTCATGAGAGGAGTCAAGCTATTTTTCAAAAAAGGAATAAAAAACTTTTTGCTGTGTTCTAGATTGAGGTTTTTCATAACCTCACACTCTTTGTGCGCGCTTGGCGTGTGTGTGTGTGTGATTTCTTTTAATCACAGGCCATGTAAACACAGAAACTTCATTCCAGGGTCTCATTCTTTTCTTAGATGGCCTGCTGAAAGAAGGCAACATCTCAAAGTCGATAGCCTGTGTGGCAGGTGCCAAAAAAAGGGGGCGTTAATCCCCTTTCCCTTTTTTCCTCTCTTCCCCTCCCCTTTCGACGTCTGCTGTGCGGGCTACAAAAATAGACGAAAAAGAAGGTCGCCAAGTTTGGCTCATTCAGGGCCATTACGTTTAACAACCCACACCCCTGAAGAGGCTGAGGTAAAGTTAACGTATATCCCTTAGGGAAGATCAAAAGAACCGACACAGCCCCCCCCCCCTCCCTCCCTCAGAAAGAGTAAACAGTGGGCGATCCAGGGGAGGGACCTGGACCCCCCCTTATTTTTAGACCAAACTAAGGCCCGAAAAAACTTTTTTGGAGACCGCCTCCCTTATCTAAGCGTCTGGATGACAGGCCCCCCCTTATCTCGAGGTCTGGATCCGGCACTGGGAAATACATAGAGGTGCTGACTTACGCCACTTGCACATCTCCCAAGTTCCACCTTATTTGCCCCCCAAAATTTTACATAACCTTTGTTTTTCATTTCTCCTGAGTATTTCAGCCAACCCAAGAGAAATAATTTATTAAAAACAATGCTTTTGCAAAATTTTGGGGGGGGCAAATAAGGAGCATTATGGGAGATGTGCACGTGGCGTGTATCACAAAGCTCAGTTAAGATCATTTGGCATTGTTAAACAATTTTTTGTTTGACATTGTCCGATTGCAGGCTGTTAACTTCATCCCTGCTTTACTACTCACAGGCAATTAAAAAACGGGTCTGTAAAGGATACCTGGAATATGTCATTAAGTTTAGAATCTCCCTATTGTTCTTCTAAACACCCGGGTCTGACACACGAAACTTGTTCTCCACCTGGCTCACCTGAGATGGGCTGTGGAATGACACTTAAACATGAATTTTAAAAACCTCCAAAAAGTGCAAAAGGAGACCTCAGGTGCCCTCAAGATTTTACCAATACTTTGCCATGGAAAGAAAATAGTAAATGATGAGAAAAACAGTTATTCAAAGCCTTTTTTAATTAGCCTTCGCGTGCAGTTTTCACGTTTTCTAACACTCCACTGACAATGACCATCAGGCTTACCATTACCCCAGCCACACACTATTAGTCCAATCAAATTGTGGTTTAACGTAAAACTAATTGCAACAGAATTTTTTCAACACCATTTAATTTTTGGATGGCTACCTAACAACATACTAAAAATCCGTTCGGTGAAACGTGACAAAAATAGGCAATAAAGAGTTTCAACTTTCACCACAGGACACCCAGTTTAAGGAAAATCACAAATTCAGAC